GAACAGAGCCCTCAGAAATAATACCACACATCTACAGCCATCTGATCTTTGACAAACCTGACGAAAACAAGAAATGGGGAAAGGATTCCCTATTTAATAAATGGTGCTGGGAAAATTGGCTAGCCATAAGTGGAAAGCTAAAACTGGATCCTTTCCTTACTCCTTATTCGAAAATTAATTCAGTATGGATTAGAGACTTAAATGTTAGACCTAAAACCATAAAAACTCTAGAAGAAAACCTAGGCAATACCATTCAGGACATAGGCATGGGCAAGGATTTCATGTCTAAAACACCAAAAGCAATGGCGACAAAAGCCAGAATTGACAAATGGGATCTAATTAAACTAAAGAGCTTCTGCACAGCAAAGAAACTATCATCAGAGTGAACAGGCAACCTACAGAATGGCAGAAAATGTTTGCAATCTGCTCATCTGACAAAGGGCTAATATCCAGAACCTATAAAGAACTCAATCAAATTACAAGAAAAAAACAAACAACCCCATCAAAAAGTGGGCAAAGGATATGAACAGACACTTCTCAAAAGAAGACATTCATACAGCCAACAGACACATGAAAAAATGTTCATCATCACTTGCCATCAGAGAAATGCAAATCAAAACCACAACGAGATACCATCTCACACCAGTTAGAATGGCAATCATTTAAAAAATCAGGAAACAACAGGTGCTGGAGAGGATGTGGAGACATAGGAACACTTTTACACTGTTGGTGGTACTGTAAACTATTTTAACCATTGTAGAAAACAGTGTGGCGATTCCTCAAGGATCTAGAAATAGAAATATCAGTTGACCCAGTCATCCCATTACTGGGTATATACCCAAAGGATTATAAGTCATGCTACTATAAAGACACATGCACACGTATGTTTATTGCAGGACTATTCACAATAGCAAAGACTTGGAATCAACCCAAATGTCCATCAGTGACAGACTGGATTAAGAAAATGTGGCACATATATACCATGGAATACTATGCAGCCATAAAAAAGGATGAATTCATGTCCTTTGTAGGGACATGGATGCAGCTGGAAACCATCATTCTCAGCAAACTATCGCAAGAACAGAAAACCAAATACTGCATGTTCTCTCTCATAGGTGGGAATTGAACAATGAGATCACTTGGACACAGAAAGGGGAGCATCACACACCGGGTCCTATTGTGGGGAGGGGGGAGGGGGGAGGGATGGCATTAGGAGATATACCTAATGTAAATGATGAGTTAATGGGTGCAGCACACCAACATGGCACATGTATACATATGTAACAAACCTGCACATTGTGCACCATGTACCCTGGAACTTAAAGTATAATAATAAAAAAAAGAGAATGCCCTTGTTGTTGTTTTACCCTAAGAAATATACATTGAAGTATTTAGAGATAAAAGAGCATCATATTTGCAATTTTCTTTTTTTTTTTTTTTTTTTTGAGACGGAGTCTCGCTCTGTCACCCAGACTGGAGTGCAGTGGCCAGATCTCAGCTCACTGCAACCTCCGCCTCCCGGGTTTATGCTATTCTCCTGCCTCAGCCTCCTGAGTAGCTGGGACTACAGGCGCCCGCCACCTCGCCCGGCTAGTTTTTTGTATTTTTTAGTAGAGACGAGGTTTCACCAGGTTAGCCAGGATGGTCTTGATCTCCTGACCTTGTGATCCGCCCGTCTCGGCCTTCCAAAGTGCTGGGATTACAGGCTTGAGCCACCGCGCCCGGCCATATTTGCAATTTTCAAAGGTTCCTATACATATAGATACAGAGAAAAAGAATGAGAATGAGAGAGATGATGAAGTTAATTGGTAAAATATCAGTATTTGGGGAAACTTGGTGAAACATACAGAAATTCTTTATACTGCTCTTGCAACTTTCCTGTTAGTCTGAAATTAAGACTTGAAGGTTTGCTGGATAAAGCATGAAGAATTATCTAGTGTGGCCTGGGGAACTGGCATGCATTCTGTTTGTGGTGGCCATTATTAGAGAAGAAGGCAGCTTGTAGGGGCCCCTTACCTAAAGGTTTTAGAATGTTCTAGGCCAGGGCTTTTCAAACTCTTATATCCCCTAGAATTACTCGGGGATCTTGTTCACTGCAGATTCTGGCGCAGGTCTGGGTGGGACGGAGTCTGTATTCTCAACGGGCTCCCAGGTGATGCTGAGGTCACCTTCCTGCTGGTTCATGGATCACCCTTTGGGTGGCACAGGGGTAGAAGCCACTGGAATTTAGACCACCGGTTCCCAAGCCTGCTGTACTTTGGGACCATTGGAGGAATTGATGTTCATTGGTCTTCTCTGGTGATTATCATATGCTCCCAAGGCTAAACCTTCACATCGATCCTGCATCCTCCTTTCCATCATCGCAAATGCAGACCCTAAGTCTAAGGGCTGCCATGGTGTCCAAGCGGAGCTTTTGCTGCTGCTTTACTCCTTCCTATACCCAGAAGCCAGATGAATCTTCCTGCTCCCGCATGGTTCACTGTGGGAGGCAGGTGTGAACTCCTCACCCAGGCAGCAAGCCCTCTGTGGTGTGGCCACTACCCACTTTTTCTGGCTTCTCTCCCGGGCTTCTCTGTTGTTTGATACCTGGCTTCCCAGAGAGCAGCTGCTCACAGTCCTGCAGCCGGGTTCCACGTTGGCGCATCGGCAGCTGCGATCACTCTCACACCCATGCAGCAGCGGTCTCAGGCTCACTCAGGTCTCCCAGTAAGAAGCACCACATGGTCCCTTCCTCCATGGGGGCCTTCCTTCGGATGTCACAAACCCCGCCCCTCACTGTGCCCTCTCAGGGGGCCCACATTTCTCTAGGAGAGAAAACTGGCTGAGAGTTGGGACCTGGGGGCTCAGACAGGCTCTCCTCACTCAGAGCAGGGGAAGAAGGTGTCTGCTGCTGGGACACAGCATCCCATTCGCAACCACCCAGGACAGGGCTCCACTCCCTGTGGTGTGTGGGGAAGGGCAGGGAGGCTGGGGTATTGCTCTGGAATTCTGGCCTGGCCACCAATTCCTTAGTCCCCTCCCCAGCTCCCCACCCACCCGCTTACAGACCCTTTACCCTCCCTCCTTCCATCCTTCTACCCAGCACGTGGCTGGGATCCAAAGGACCTGGAGGAAAATAGGTCACAGGGAGGTGCCACCTGGATTGTTCCCTCGGGAGAGGGCTCGGCCCATGAGAGAGCAGCACGTGTTAGGCCACAGAGACCAGGGCTGAAAATCACATTTGAGAAGGGGGATGCAGCACCTGGGAGGCATCCGGAGGCCACCCCTTCTCCAGTTCCCCCATCACCTTCTCCAGTTCCCCCATCACCTTATCCAGCTCTCACCCCCTCTTCTCCAGTTCCCCCATCACCTTCTCCAGTTCTCCCACCCTCTTCTCCAGTTCTCCCCCTCTTCTCCAGTTCCCTCATCACCTTCTCCAGTTCCCCCATCACCTTCTCCAGTTCCCCCATCACCTTCTCCAGTTCTCCCTCACTCTTCTCCAGTTCTCCCCCTCTTCTCCAGTTCTCCCCCCTTCTATAGTTCTCTCCCCCTTCTCCAGTTCCCCCATCTCCTTCTCCAGTTCTCCCCCACTCTTCTCCAGTTCTCCCCTCCTTCTCCAGTTCCCCCATCACCTTCTCCAGTTCTCCCCCACTCTTCTCCAGTTCTCTCCCCCTTCTCCAGTTCTCCCCCCCTTCTACAGTTCTCCCCCCCTTCTCCAGTTCTCCCCCCCTTCTACAGTTCCCCCATCACCTTCTTCAGTTCTCCCACCCTTTTCTCCAGTTCTCCCACATACTTGTCTAGGCATCACTTTTCTGGAAAGAGATTTCCTCCTGATCCCACACCTATCCTTCCCTCCACATGCCCTGGGGCTGATGGAGCTAATTTCAGTTAAGATGCTTGACTGCCCAAGGAAGGGGCCTGGGTAAACCCTGGGGATTAGGGGCTGAGTCACGCCTCAGTTCCCAGGAGGATCACAGCTGGAATCGGAGGGAAGAAGGGGCCAGGGAGGGGCAGCTGATCCTGGCTCAGATCAGCTTCAAAAAGTCCAGGGGCTTCACTCCTGCCTTCTGTCCTCCCTCAGGAGCTGTCCAGGTGGGAACTTCGAGAGGCTCATTCCGCCCTGGAGGATGGAAAGTGGTCCTTCACGCCTCCATCAAGAGGTCCAGGATCCCTGCATGCTCATGTCTCTGACCTTGCGCCAATCTTCCTGGGCCCAAAGTTTGGAGGGTGCAGGTCATCTCCCCTGAGAACGGGCTCGCCCCATGTGCTTGGTGGGGAGGCCTGCGATTTGGAACAAATTGGCTCCTCTGTGGAGACTTCTGTCCACTCAGCTTCTCCCTTTGGGTTTCAGATTCCCAGCCCTGCTGCATTCCAGGAAAAAACAGAGATTTGGAAGCAAATACGAACTGGATCCCTAAAAGAGATGCACACCCCATTTCCAGATCTGGGAACGTCCTCCTCTCCATCAGGTCGCTCTAGTTTCAGGCTCTGTTGCAAGTCCCTCCAGGAAGAGGCTGACCTCCCACCGCCAGGACCCTGCATTGCCGCTGCGTCCCGCATCCTCCAGCACACCCTTGGGCTGTCCCACGCGGGTTAACACTTGTCTCCTGGCCCTGCTTTCTGCCTCCAAGTTCTCTCTCCTGGACAGCTGTAAGAATCTATTTGCCCAGCAGACACTTTCCTGTTTATTTATCATAATCATAATTTCCCCATCCCCAATCAAGACATCTCACATAAGACTTTAGGGTCGCTTTTGGGTATAGGGGCAATGTGTATGGTAAAATACTACAGATTGAAATAAGTAGAGGAATTATGATGATTTAAAATAACGCGAGTAATTCTGGAGGGAATAAGTCCAAATATTTTATGCTGAGACTGTCTTAGAAAATCCAAGACATGTTGTCACTGTGTATACGTTCTTATACCCCCAGCTAGGCACTCAGTAGACACGTGACTCTCCCTTGTCTTTGATGTTGACTCCCTCTCACATTCCTCTCATCCTCAATCAACACATTACATGGTTTTTCCATGAATCAATCTTTATTGGTGTTTGCAGCAATTAGATTATTGGCACAAGGCACAATGGGCTTCAAAGCAAATAATAGACAGAAAATACCATTGTACAGGTGGAAAGGGCTCTTCAGGCGGTGTCTCAGAGCAACTGTGACCCTCACAAAGACCCTGCAGCTAGGACCCAGCCCAGCTGAGACAGGCTTTGAGAACCTGAGAGTGACCAAGCCATACCTCGGGGGATCTGAAGGGGTCCCACAGTTCTTTCAAAGACAAGCATTTCTAGCTTCCTTGGGAGCTCTTCCAGCCTTCGAGTCTTTGTCATCAATAGCAGCTTGATGACCATGAGGACTCTGTCCCTCTAAGACAGCCTGATCTCCCTCACCCATGCCTGTTCAGTGGAAGCCTCCCCAGCCAGGGGCAAATTAAGGCCCCTGCAGAGGGAGCAAGAGAGGAGGGAAGAGCAAGAGTTGATAAGCGGATTGGCCAAGCCCAGTGATCCCCCTGAGGATATGCGCCCCCCCCCCCCTGCCCACAGTGGTGGGCCTTCCCACCAATATTTAGGAGGTTAGAGAAAAGGGGGCTTCTCAGTGGGAGAGCTCCTGCTGCCCTTCTTCTGAGGAGGGGTCCTCCTCTATGAGCTCCAGGTCAAACTCATCTTCCAGGGACCCTCCCACAGGCAGAAGGCGGAACTTCTTCCCTTTCAGGGTGCATGTGCGGTGCTCAAAGTCCAGGACAGCGTTGTGGTCCTGGAGCACATCAGTGCCGATGATGGCTTCCTCGGCACTTGCATTGGCCACTAGGAACTGTGCTTTCAGCTTCAGCTTGCCTAGGGACACTGCTGTATCCCAGACACCCAGGATCTTCATTTCAGCACCATTGGCCACCTTTACCACGTTCTCAAAGGGCCGCAGAGTGTCCAGATCGCCATCGGTGACCTCCTCCCACAAGTTTGGGTGGACCACAGAGACCTGGGCCCCAGAGTCCACCAGGAACCTCACGGGCACTTTACCAATCTTCCCCTTGAGATAGTAGCCCTTACCCATGCTGTTGGCAAAGACGATCTCTTTGGGCAGGTGGCTGGGGGCAGCCCCAGGGACCCCAAAGGCCTTCAGGAGGGTCTCTTTCACAGTCCCATAGTCTCCCTGGTCCTGGGGACTGAGCCCATTGTAGATATCCAGGGCCTCTCCTCTGAGGGACTCTTTCAGGAACCTTAGCTTGGTGATATGGTCCCAATGGTTGAGGTCGTTGATGACTTCAAAGCGGTGCAGCCAGAGGTTTGGGACGACATTGGCCCCATCAAAAGGCTCCGGGACAAAGGCATGCTGCCGGCGGCCTTCCTCACTCCTGGCTCTGCTCCCAGCCATCCTGCTGCTCTCCCCTGGAACTTCAGCAGCAACCCACGCCAAGAAGAGAAACCCACAGAGCAGTGTCGGCGCAATCACGCTGGAAAATGGGGCCTCTGGAAGCAGATCGGGGATGACTTGCCCAGCCTTGGGCAAGCAGGAGGGAGCAGGTGCCGTTGGCTGACTGACTGCTGGGGCAGAGGCAGGCAGTGCTGTGACCTGCTCACTCTGCAGAGCCCTTTTGATTCCTAGGCTGGCCCCCGGGCTCCCCATTCTTCTTTGTTCTGGAAGCTCCGCCCCTCCTCGCTCCGCCCTCCTGCCAGCATCCAGCCCGACTAGCAGGATGGGTGCCTCACCCTCTGCATCTATCCTTGGACCAACACCAGCCAGCCCACATCCCAAGAAAGGCTGGCCTCTGTTGAAGGGGGACTACCCCGTACCCTCCCCAGCCTGTGTTCCAGAATAACAGATGAGCACATGGAGGATGTGATGACATTCAGGTATTTGTCATCAGCCAGAGAAGGAAGACGGAGGCAGGGACCAGATGCCCATCAGCTCTGAGACCAGGGAAGCCCCTGTTGGCCTCCCCCACAGGTGACTACTTTGAGGGGTCAAAGGAAAAGAGTTTACATGTACAGAGCTCCTACCACGTGCCAGGCACTGGGAAGAGTCTCACACACATTCTAAAGCAGGTATGGGATCCTACGGGATTTCCTGGAGAGGGAGGTAGAGGAGGGTCCCAGAATCAAGAAGGCACAGAAATGGCCTTTTTTGAGTGAGGGGACACGCGCGCGCACACACACACACACACGTGCACAATCATCTTACATGGACTCAATTGCTGCAGTAATTTTCCTTCATTGATCACCCCTGATTCAGAGGCAGAGGTGGCCGAGCAACTCTGGGTAGGCTCACACTGGACTCCATGAGTGTTGTCTCCACTCTATTTACCCCTCTCCATTTCCAAGAACTGTTCCAAGGGTCCCTGCCCCAGGCACTGCAGCCCTTCCTTTCCCACTTCCCAACATGGTCATTTGTGGAAAGATCATGGGGAAATTTAGTCCCTTTTCATTTTGAGAGGGAAAACGTCCACCATGTTGGCGATGCCAGTGGTGAGGACCTGGAGGGCTCTGGCTGTGTGCCCCTCCACTGCAGGGGTAAAGGGTAGCACCGGAGGACCTCCAGGCGTCTACAGGGGCGATCTGTGAGTCCAAGGGCTGGAGGCCTGACTTGGGGCTGTGCAGGGGCTGTTGAAGGGATCCACTTTTATGTCCGCATTCAAATGTTGCTCCATGGAGCCTTCTGCCTGTCCCTAGCAAGGGCACCCACTCCTGGTTGAGCGTGTTTCACAGTGTGCTCTGGTGGTTCGTTCACAAGTCTGCCTCTCGCTATGAACCAGAGTCTGGGGCTCGCAAACTTGGCATTTGTGATTGTCTCCAGCCCCCAGAACAACTTCCTCTGGGACCCAGGTGCTCTTTGCTGGACTCCAGGCCTAGCTGTGTGCTGTCACCAAACAGGAATGATTAAGGATCGGAGAGGAGGAAGACTCGATGGCACACCTGTGGCTCTGGGGCTGTTTTTCCTGGCCAAGAGCCTGTCCCTTTCCAGCTCCCTATGCCACGCATCACTCAGCGCCTGGCAGAATCCCGGCAGTACCCTGCCTTCGGACAGTCCTGCCTCTGGATAGCCCAGGTCCCCAACCACACTGCAAGACTGTGCTGTCCCCAGCCCCTTCCACCTGATTCAGTGAGCCAGCGGAGAGGCAGCTGGGTCAACACCTCTCATCACAGCTGCCTGGCTAAGGTGGGGCCATTGTGGCATTCCAGGAGCCCAGAGGAGGGGGAAATGGAGTCACTGAGAAGGTGTTGAGAGCAGGTGGTTCTTTGAGAAGATTGCATAATGAAAACCCTGCATCCAGAGAAATGGCCCAGCCACATGCAAGGCCAGGAAGCCCCTTCTGCAGATGGGCTTTTGCAGATAGCTTCCCAGCTGCTGGGATGAGTGCTGTTCTGTGACTCAAAGAACTGACCCAGTGGTTTCCTGATTCCCTGGTATTCATTACCTCCGCACATCTGGTCCCCTGGAAGTGGAAATGAGTGAGGAGGTTAGCATGCGACCAAGGGAGGAGCGAGGCAGGGTGGCCTGTCAGCTGACAAGCTGGGACTGCTAAATGCCCTGAACTAGCTTTTCAAACCATAGTGGTAGACATTGAATTCCAGTCTCCCCGCTGCGCTTAGACTAGAAATTGGTGGTCCCTTGGGACCTCATTTGAGTGGGTTTGGTGTTCACTTTGGCAAAGGTGTTTCACACACATCACTCCGTGAGCAGTGTGACAACCTGGGAGGCAGAGCAGCTCCACCCAGGACCCTGGAGCACAGGAGCTTCCATGGCCTCAGGTCTCAGGCTTTCCAGCGGCCAGAGAAGGGCATTTTGCAAGGACAGGGAGGTGGAGTGCTGGGATGGGAGAGGTACAGCATAAGCGCTGGGGGCAGGGGTCTTGGTGGCCAGTGGAGAAAGAGCTGCTTGTTAAATATTCAGGAATTTGGTGGGTCAATTGTTAAACCAATTGGTGCTTGAAATCAGACTTGGTGGAAGTATTCACACCACCAGAATTGGCAAATACTAAATGAAGACTTTTTCCCCCTCTGGAATCCAGTTCCATCACACCCCTGCATGGAAGCCTTGGACACACTGACTCTCTAGGGCAGGCAAAGCACTGTGGCTGGTGATGAATAAGTTTATGGTAACCTCCACCCCTGCTTAGCTGCTTGGGCCCTCTCACCAAGGAGCCCAAGCCCACCTTGGCCCCATCCTTCCCCACAATCTTTAGACTTCTGTGCTGCTGTGGCTTGAGGCAGATGACCCTTCAGGTTGTCTGTCCACACAGCTCCCTCTGGGACCTCCACAACAGAAGCACGCAGGGGCCTCGTGGTTACTGTGAGAGCTGGAAGGGGTCGGCATCAGCCTCTGGCTGAGTCTGGGAGTCTGTCTCTGGCTAGGATCAGGGACACGGGTAAAGGTTAGTTCTCAAGTTCCCTTATGCCTTGGGAGGTGCCCATCCTTAGAACAGCCTGGAAGCACACAGAGACCTTGGAATGGCTATGCCAGAGGTGCCCCATGAGCTAAGCCAGTCAGGGCAGCCAGGTGCCACTACCTCCTCCCAGAACCTAGGAAATCATGGTTAATTATTGACAAGTATAGGTATTGGGGCGGGACACCCTCATTATCACCCATTAGCGATTCCTGGGTGTACCCTGAAGCAGGCACACCGTACTTAACCCTGGAGGAGCAAAGCAGGACAATAAACAGGAAGGAGTGGGGCTCGCCACCCTCCACGCCCCCTCACTGAGATTTCTGGGCTGTGAGCTCCACCAACCCAATTCTTTCTCAGTTCCCTGGTTCCCTTTTGCCGTTTCTTTTCTGTTGTTTTTTTAAAATTGTTTCACTTCTGATATTCACCTGGATCCTTTGCCTGCTTTAGTCTCCCTCAGGACAGTTGGGCAAATCAGGACAAGCCCAAGACTGGGCCTGTCGGGCCTCCTGAGACCTGAAGCCCTTGGTGGGCAGTGAGTTCACCCCAAACACTTTATTTTATTTTTATTTATTTATTTATTTTTTGAGATGGAGTCTCACTCTGTCGCCCAGGCTGGAGTACAGTGGCGTGATCTTGGCTCACTTCAACCTCTGCCTCCTGGGCTCAAGCGATTCTCCTGCTTCAACCTCCTGAGTAGCTGGGATTACACCAGGCTAATTTTTCGTGTTTTTAGTAGAGACAGGTTTCACTATGTTAGCCAGGATCGATCTCCTGACCTCATGATCCACCTGCCTCGGCCTCCCAAAGTGCTGGGATTACAGGCATGAGCCACCACGCCCGGCCCACCCCAAACACTTTAGACCAAGGGTCCAATCTTTTGGCTTCCCTGGGCGACACCAGAAGGATTGTCTTGGGCCACACATAAAATACACTAACACCAACGATAGCTGGTGAGCTAAAAAAACAAACAAACAAACAAACAAAACCTCACAATTTCTTTTTTTTTTTTTTTTTTTTGAGTAGAGACAGGGTTTCATGTGTTAGCCAGGATGGTCTTGATCTCCTGACCTCGTGATCCGCCCGCCTCGGCCTCCCAAAGTGCTGGGATTACAGGTGTGAGCCACCGTGCCCAGCCAAAACTCATGTTTTAAGAAAGTTTACAAATTCGTGTTGGGCTGCATTCAAAGCAGGCTAGACATGCTTGCTTTAGATTGTTCCTGCGGCCCGATGACTTCCCAGAACACAGTGGCAGCTTGCAGAGGAGTGTAAAGCCTTCCAAGTCCTGAGGCTGGAGGGCAGGATCCACCACGCAGGGTGGAATGGGGAGCAGACCCTGCCTTCTAGGGAGATCGGTTTTTGAGCCAAGAGCCCAGGGCAAGAGACACCTTACAGACTGGGGTGCCCCTAGTGAGGCCCAGCCTGGAAGAGGAGGGTCGGGAAAGGGTAAGACCAGCACAGCCCTAAGCCGTTCTGCCAGCCCACCTTGGCCACTTCCCCACATTGCGAAGGTCAAGGCCACCCTGGGAAGCCGGTGGGAAGAGAGCAAAAGGGGACCCAGGGGCCTTCGGGGTGGCATGGGGAGGTTGGAGGGAGACAAGGAGGTGCACTCCTCCATGGGGGTGAGACCCACCCTGAGCTCAGAAAGGCCCCAGTTTGGTGTGATGCTCTGCTGTTGCTGTCCTGAAAGTCCTGGTAATTTTGAATGAGGATCCATGTTTTTCTTTCACACTGGGACCCTGCAAATTAAGTAGCTGACTCTGTCCCCACCCAGTCCAGTGGTGGGGTCTTCTCTTCATTCACATGCACGTACACGCAGACACACACGCTCCCTACTACACACCACGTACACGTCCGTCCACAAAAACACACTCCTCCACACTACACACACACACCCTGCACCTGTGAAACACGCACGGCACCCACAATCACGCTACAGTTCTCAGTGTAAAACAGCTGAGCAATTGTGTAACTTGCACATATAATTCAGATCCCATCTTTCATTTCATGTATTTATTTGCACCCACATTTACATCGAGTATTAAAATCCTATTTATTTGAGGCACCTGCTGTTTGTTAGCCTCTGGACACACTTGCTGCTTCAGAAGACCAGGCAGGTCCCCATGGCCACGGCTTACAAGCTAATGAAAGCAGGATCTAGATGTTTAACAGCCAAGTGTTGAAGAGTTTAAGACCCATGGATATATGCAGGCTGACCCACTTACTGCACCCCGTCACAACCACGCTGCTTTGAAAGGAGCCAGTCTCTAAGTGGGTCAGCCTGCCTCCTGCTCCCTGCCACCTGGTGAGGGCAGGGACTGAGGCCTCCATCCCCCGACCCCCCAACCCCCCACCTCTGGCCATGGCCGCCAAGACGAAGGCCCTCCCATTTGCCTGCCCCTCTCCTGCACAACTGGGCCCCCCGGCCCAGGGTTGGCGTATGTGTGGGGTTGGTGGCACAGCTCCTCCGAGCACCGTCCCTAACCGCATTCTGCTTCCAGCGTTCCGCATCAGTAGGCTTATGGCATCAGATCTTCAAACTGAAAAGAGACATGAAGAGGTGAATTCTGGACACAAATCTGGTCAGGAACTCAGATCAAAGCTGGGTGGGCTTTGACCAAAGCAAGGTACATTCAGAAATCCAAGGCACCTGCAGTTTCCTTATCCCCGCCCCAGATCACCCATGCCTGCTCTGACCATGCGGGCACCACGCAGCATCCACAGTCAGTCATGGCCAAGGGCACACGGGCAGGACAGCCTGACCTTGACTGGACCTCCATCTTCGTCCCTGCCAAACCTCCTCAACATGAGCATTCCTGCCACGTGCCTCACCCGGTAGGCCAGTGTCACTGCTCAAGGACAGAGCTCTCCTGCCTGCAGAGCCCTTCCCCAGCTTGCCACTGTTCCAGAACCTCTCCTTCCTGTTTGGGTCTCCCTCCTATCCCGCTTTGCCCCTAGTTCAGAACCCCTCTAATCGAAGTGGCCCAGCACAGCCCACCAGCCAAATCCATTTTGCTGTCAGGAGGCAGCAAAATGCTTAATGCGAGTCCCAACCGTGGGGGGTCCTGGAGGTGTTTGGGGAACAGTGGTCCTGGCCCCAATGCCATTGCAAGCCTCCAGGCCTGGGGTCAAGGGCAGGACCAACAAAGAGTTGGTGAGAGCAAGTTGCTGACTAACTCCTAGAAGTCCACTTTGCCAAAACTGGTTCTCTCCTGTTTTTATCTTTCAATCAAATATGAAGATTACTAAGATGTCCTGAAGGCCTTCTCAGTCACCTCCTCCGGGCCCAGCCCTCTGAATTGGGTTTCTGCCTTTTTCCCCAATTGCTGGTGCCCCCACCCTAGACCAAGCCTTCATCCCTTCCTGCCCCATCCCTGCCACGGAGGCCCAGGGCCCTGCCTGGCCAGAGGGGCTGGCTTTAAGGCAAGACCCTATGCAGATTCCCTTCCTCCCATCCCCTCTTCAGGGTCCCCTCCACTTAACTGAAGTTGGGAGTGGGACTTGTAATACAGGTCCAGACAGCTTTGGGGACATTAAGCCACTTTTGACAAACACCCCTGCAATTAGTGAAATATTCAGGCAATTAAAACATACAGATTGGGTAATCTCCAACTACAAGTGGGCTTCTAATGACACCAGGAAACTTGGCTTAGAGCTGAACACATGGAGGGCTTCTGTCCAACTTAAATACCTCAAAGGCAGCTTCGAAATAATCTGGAAATAGTTTGAATTGTCTCTAATGATAACTAGTATTGTGAGCGATTAAAACCTATCAAATATCCTCAGCACAGGAAGTTGAGTCTTTTCAATCAACTGCCAACCTAGCTTTGCTCCTAACATACAGAAGATGGGGGGTGGCGGCAGAGAGGGGGTACCTTCCCTCTGGCATGTCAAAGTGATCCAGAAGATGTGGGAGAGACGGGAGAGGGAGAAAGGGAAAAACAGCAGAGCCCTTACATGTATAGAAATCTCCAGGTGGCTGGGCGCACCATCCACACACATTTATTGAGCACTACTGTGTGCCAGACACCATGCTCATGGCTGTAAAT